CAACGTGTCAGTGGCACGTTTCTGGAATTTTCCATTTAATATTCTCGGGCCGTGGTTGACCGAGGGCGACCGATCCCAGGGAAACGGAAACCAGGAATAAAAGAGGGGCTACTGCGGCTGTCTGGGGATTAAAAGCGAGAGTCCGTTCAAAGCACCGTCATCTACAGTCCCTGGAAGGCGGAGCTCAGTACAGAGAGAATTCAGTTGCCGGAAGTGTCCAGGGCGTATCGTGTGAGCTCCTGGAGGGATTGTGGCTCATGCCCTTGGTTCTCTCACTCAAGGCGGGTGGATGGGAGTATCCACAGACCACCTATTCGATTACGATGCAGCGTTTGCATCTGAGTGTATCATCAAGTCACCCCCTGTCTACACGTCTGTCCCCCCAAGGTCCTGAGGGCCGCGGGGATATAACGGACCAACAGGGCCTCGGAGGAGGAGCCCAGGGGCACCTGAGACTCACCAGGTCCACGTTATGGGTTCAAAATAGTCTTAACTTCAGAGCCACCGGATTTGCTCAGTTTTTGTTTTTGTTTTTAATGTGGCTCATTTGCCCACAAAAAAAAATACACTGTAAAAGCTAAGGTCTCCCACCCTCAGCACCGTCGACTTTTTGGGACCATGTCATTCTTCCTTTTTAATATAAGTTTTTATTGATTTCAGAGAGAGGAAGGGAGAGAGAGAGAGAGAAACAGCAGTGATGAGAGAGTCGTGGATCGGGTGCCTCCTGCACGCCCCCTGCTGAGGGTCGATCCTGCAACCTGGGCACGTGCCCTGACCGGGAATCGAACCCGCAACCTTTCAGTGCACAGGACAATGCTCATCCCACTGAGCCACGCCGGCCAAAGCAAGGATAGCTTTTAATTAAAGGAATGTATATGAAATATTAATGGAAATAAATACCCAAAGCCTTCCAGTTTCTTTCTTTTTTTTTTTTTTAAAGGCTCTAACAGCTATTCCCAAATGGTGTGTAACTTATCGATAATCTCATTTCCCGTCCTTTGGGTTTTGTTTCTGGTGAGAACTCAACCTTTTCTATGACATCTTTTTGTCTGAGAACACGGAGCTCAGCCCTGAGGTGGGGCCACGCACCTGTTACCTCCACGCTTAGCCTCGGCTCCGTGCATGGGCTCACAACACACACATGCACACACGCATGCATGCACACACAGATGCACGCACACACACGCATGCACACACACACTATAGTCTATAACCCAGATGTCCATGAATAGGACCACCAATAAGGAAATGCTGGCACAGTTAACCGGAATACTACACAGCACTGAAAAATGGGTAAACCGGAGATATGTGTTATCAAAACGGATCACACAGCGTGGAAGAGGACATATGGTATGATCTCGCTCATATAATATTATGTAAAAAGTAAACGACTGCTTCGAGCTCCATTTGTGCTAAAATAGTAAACTAGCAAAGGCACCGTTAAAACCAAATTCTGGGATAGTAACTGCCTCTGAGCGGTGGGCGGGACGTGCCTCAGACGGACGTACAAAAATGTGAGCAATGTCCGACTTTGTGCTCCGGCAATGGGCACGTTTGTTTGAATTTTATTTTTAAATGTGTATCTAACGCACATTTTTCTTGAATCCTTGGCCGTGCCGATTTTAATCGAGACACGTGTCTATAAAATTTGACTCAGTAACACACACATGTTACTTTCGCATGTTATTTTCGCATGTACTGTCCAAATATCTCAGATTTTAAAAAACAGATAAAAAACGTGCGTCGTTTTTGTCCAAGGTGATGCTACACACCCAAGGGAAGGGACCGCTGGCCTGCACAGTCCATAAAAAGCCACAGGTTCCTGAGGGCATCGTGCAAACGGAGAGAGAGGTCACCTCGGACCGCGGCGGGCTGTGACACTAACTGGCCGGGGGACCTTTGTCACATCCCTTCGCGCCCCAGGCCCCAGCTCCCACCGCGAGGACACGGCCGAGGTCACCCCTTCAGCTGCCTGCGGCCAGCGGATGCTCTGAAAATTCAGTGTCATCCCCGAAACAGAGGCGACGGGGGATACGGAAGCCCGTGGGAACGCCAAGTCCTGCGGTTGAAATAAGAATCCGAAAGCGCCCTGAGATAACGGGGGCCGGGGGGACGCGGGCCGGCTCCGTGTGCAGGAGTCGTCCCTGTGGAAAGAATCGCACGTGTCTGTATTTTGTGAGTGTATCGGAAGCCGGCGGGCCATCCAAACCCAGCGAAGGCCCGGCCGGTGCGGCTCAGAGGTTGAGCGTCGACCTAGGAACCAGGAGGTCATGGGTTCGATTCCCGGTCAGGCCACAGGCCCAGGTTGCAGGCTCGATCCCCCGTCGGGGGCCTGCAGGAGGCGGCCGATCCATGACTCTCTCTCTCTTTCAAAATCAATAAAAACACACTCAATCAATAATGCAAACATTATTCTAAAACATACCCTCAAATGATTAAAAACTAAACTAAAGCAAATAAAAATCACACCGCGACGCAGCGGCAGGGCCAGCTTACAACAAAGATGCTCCCAAACTCACAGGCCCCTGTGTTTTTTTCCCGCTAAACCCTGCACCCCCCTCGTAAACGCTAACAGCTCCGTGAAGGGCGCCGGGGACCCAAGGCCCTCTTGTCCTTTGCATTTGCACCTAGTCCAGCCACCCCGGGGAGGCCCTACGGGATGTTGCAATGCAGGGTCACCCTCCACATCGCCCCCCAGAGCATCAGCCTCCTCGGAGCGGCCGGCAAGGAGACTTTTGCAGGGACATCGGAGGCTGGCCGGTGGTTTCGAGCGCAGCCGAGAGCAGCCAAGTGCCTGCGGGCGAGACAATAACCCGTCTTCGGCTCTGGTTTCCCGCCCCGGGCCCTGCACTTTCTATAACGGTCCCTTCGGGTCTCCTGATGGGAGTCGTCACGGCCTGAGCGGCGAGTCCACCGCCGCCCGAGAGCCTGACGTCAGGAGCCTGCATCTCGCCTGCACCGCGGCTGGAAGCCTCACCCCCCCCACCCCGAGGTGCCCGGGGCTGCTGCTCCCAGGGCTGCCGGTGTGCCGCGAACGCGGGGCCTCCCGAGACCAGGCCTCGGCTTTATGTCCAGGCTCCTCCAGACGGGGAAGGAGAATGACACCTTCCCGAACTCACAGAGTCAATGCCACTGTGATCCCCGCTCACGGTGCCAGTCGGGGGGCTGGAAATATTGGGGGGCGGGATAGTATATGATTGTCTAACCTCAAAGCTGTAGGCCCGAAACCAATAGAGAATAAAATAAGAGGCCCGCGCGGCGCTGCTCTGTGGTTAGCGTGTCAACCTGCACGCCTACGGGTTGCGGGTTCGAGTCCAAAGTCCAGGGCACGTAGCGGGGTTGCAGGTTCGAATCCAGGCCCCCGTTGGGGAACGTGGGGGAAGCAACCAATCGATGTCTCTCTCTCATTCCCAGTCTCTGGAAAAAAAATTTTTTTAAAAATCAGTGGAAAAAAATACACTTGGGTGAAGATTAACAAAAAAAAATAATAAAAAAAAAATTAAAATTAAATAAAGTTGAAAGACAATAGCAATCGTAATAAAGCCCGTGAAGTATTAAAAAAAAAGTCACAATTCGGAAGACAAGGGACTCGCAGAAAGTGCTGTGACGGCTTCTTTAAGGGCAGGCGCCGGGAAGACGTGAGTGCGTGTTAAAAGCCTTTGATAAAACAGATAAATCTCGAGGATAAAAATATCAGACGGGCCGTTCGTTTTCTCCACGGTCGCCTTTCGGATTTGCATGTTAATGACCAAAAGGGCCAGGGCCTCCGTCTCCGCGCACGACACGTTGTCTTTGGAAAGGAAAAATCAGCTTCTTTTTGTTTTATTTCGTCTGTTTTTACGGCAGGAAACCTGAAGGAACGCTCGGAGATCACGTCGGACAGAAGGAAGGATTCGTCGAAGGGCAAAGGCGACCTCCTAGAACGGAGAAACGCGGCACAGACGTTTTCCCCGCGAGCAGGGACGACGGAAATTACGCGTTCCCCTGTAAAGAAACGCCGGAGAGCCAACCCGGGGGGCCGGGGGGGCCCCGATTTTGACAGGCGGCAGGAAGCCCTGGCGCTCGGGTGGGTGAGAAAAATCGGTAAATAACCCGTATTTCATCGCTGTCGTCCTAAAAACCCGAATTCTGGCGGGTTCTGGGCCACGTGGGGCAGACAGCTGGCTCGAATTCCTAACACGCGGGGCTTGAATTCGCCACCGAACCGTGAACAGACGTAACCACCGGCTGCGAACTTGGTTAAAAACACGCCGTTTAGGAAATTCAACGCCAGGGGGACAAGGTTTCTGGGGCCCAGACGGACAGAAGGATCCTGCGGCCCCAGCGGACGCCGGGCCTGCAGGAGAACCACGTGGTGCACGACCCTCTGCGCAAAACACGGTCACAGGAGCGGCGGGAGCTACTGTGGCTTGAGACGTGGGCCCTAGAACGGCGGTTTTTCAACCCACCAGCCACCCGCGCATTTAAAACACGAGACACCTGACCACGGAGTCAGAGGCACCGNCCACCCGCACGTTTAAAACACGAGACACCTGACCACGGAGTCAGAGGCACCGACTTTGTTTCCAGCAACCAGCACAACAACAGCCGGCCGGCGGGAAGGAACCGGGATTTTAGGAATTATTCGACGTGTGTCCTGAGATGAAACAGGTTGAACATGCCTGGTTTTTGGGGGGACGCACGTGTGCCAGGCGAATTCTGGCGGGTTTGGGGCCCCGTGGGGCAGACGGCTGAGTAATTCCTGTGCCGTGGCTCCCTCAGCACGAGGAGTCCTCACCCGGCCTCTATTTCCAATGAAATGCCTGCCATTTCCTGCGCCCCAACCACACTCGAAATCCCCACTTTTGTGCTTTTTGTCCATTTGAAATAGATTTAAAAAAAAAAAAAATGAACCTATTGTCACCGCCATCTGAACCCACGGCCACGTTTCCTTTCAGCCACGCTGCAGATGCAGCCGAAAAACGCCGGCCCGGAGACCAGGGCTAGTTCCCGACACTCACCATCACATCGCCTTCCGGGAGAGACGCCGCGTTTGCCAGAAACGCCTCGCTGGGAATCCGCTGGGCTCCTCTCCCATCTCAGCGCATCGTTCTCCTGTGGAGATAAAACAGAGCGACACACGTGGCCCCGCTCAGTGAAAGACGTGGCGGCATTGCCTCGAAAAGCCCCGCTTACGGCGTCCTTATGAGCTTTCTTTCGGGGCGGGAGGGGGTTACGAGAAGCAGCTGGAATAAAGTAATTCCTCGCCGGTTCCCTAACGGACGGCTCGAGAAACGCGGATTCTAGAACCAACCGCTTTCGTCCGCGCGGCAAGTCAAGGTCAAAGCAGGCGGCCGGAGGTCACCGACGTCCGCCTCGTGCGTTTGACCAGGACACTGCTCATTTTTAATTTTTTTTAAGGTAATCGACTCCGTGCTCGTATATGTTAGATCCAGCTTATTTAGATTAAGAATTTGAAATGTATTTTAATTTTTTTTTAGAAAGAATGAATTCTCAGGGTTAGAACACTTGTTGGTTTTATGATTCCATTTGGGGCCGGACTAGATGGCGTGCTATCCATGGCCTTAAGTCAGATTCATACGGCTACAAAGAGCTGATTATTCTGAAATTCATACAAAATTACATTTTATCATCTTTTCCCGTAATGCCATACCCTACCATACGCATATTGTTTGAAAAGACGAACCCCGTTCTTAAGCGATTAATTCATCTCCAGGAGCGCCTTTTTAATTTTTTAAATTTTCCTATTACAGTTGATATTCAATATTATCACCCTGGCTGACGTGGCTCAGCGATTGGCACGTCGGCCTGTGCACCGGAGGGTTGCGGGTTCAATTCCCTGTCAAGGGCACGTCCTGGGCTGCAGGTTGGGTCCCTGCCCCCAGTTGGGGGGTGGGGGGTGCGAGGCAAGCAATCAATGTCTCTCTGACCTCAGAACTTCTCTCAATCTCCCCCCTTCCCTTCCCTTTCCCCTAAAATTCCATGGGAAAATATCCCCGGTTGAGAATAAGAGTAGAAAATATAGATTATATTAGTTTTAGGTGTATAACATAGCGGTTAGACATTTCTATAATTTACAAAGTGGTACCCCCGGTAAGGCTATTCTTCCCCCCCCC